CTGGGGTGGGATGGGTGGGATTTATTGGGTAGACTACTCGCATGGTTCGCATATGTTCCGTTCTAGTCCTGCCCTGCAGCGGTAATGCAGTGAAAATGGTTAGAAAAAATAGATAAATAATAAAAAAAACCCAGATTTTCTTGAAAACTTGAAAATGAACGAGTTTTGAAATACCCAAGTAAGAATAGGAAACAAAGATTTTTTGTTCCCATTTATTTCAGTTGCAACAGCAATATTATATTCCCACCTTCGGGAAAAACATAAAAACTCTGCATGGATTTCAGCCAAAAATGTTCAAGGGAACTTTGCGGATGGAAGTAAGAGATTTTCAAACTTTGGTATCATGTTACAATACTGAGTGCGATATCGTTTCCGATTAAGTTTCAGGGATCATTTCGTTTACAACGGTTTAAACATCGATCTTGAAAATTGAAAGAAAGCTGTTATACTCACTCAGGTAAGTAATATACATTCTACTCTTATTGGCATGAAGCCAGTGTAAGGCCTAACCACAGCTCTAACTTTTTTTGGTAAATTTTTACAACGTTGCTAGGAGAAGCGAAGAGTACCTTTGAGAAACCTATTGCCTTGAAAAGCTTTCCATCCTATTTTGGAAATCTCTTCAGTTTTTGCGGTATGTCTTACAATTTCGCTCATGACGATTTTTACATCGGTTTCAAAGTTTCACTTTTTTCTCTGAATTCTCAAAGTCTGACCTTTATTCTTCTCGCTGTTGTCACGATCAAATGATAGCTAATTCATAAACCGTTTGAGCGAATAAATTCTACAAATGATCGCTGTCGTTTGTAAACATAATGATGTAAAATCTGATATATTGCAAACACAACCCGGCAAAAGGAAGAGGCTGTAGCGCGCCGCTGAAGACAACTATTACTTTACAGTAATATGAATAAGGTATTGGCCATATAAAGAGTTGTATCGCCAAACAGTTTTTCTTTTTGGATTTACAAGCAGAGTTGCAGCTTCTCACAAGCGTCGGATTTTACTCTGCGCCACCTTTAATGCTGCGTGGATGGAACGAACCTAAGTTACTCTATGACCTTGTACTGCTTGTATTGATTATAATGGTATAACTCAGCCATGCGAAAGAAAATACTTTAAAAAACTTTTCTAGCCCTCTACTCTATAAGAGTGACCAGTATAATCAGATTGGGAAAATGAATCGCTGTTTAGAATAACATATATCTTGGTCAATTTACTGCAGCTGGAAATACGTGGGAAACTGAGTCGTGTTCATTTGCAATTGCAGATTCTATTTGAGGCGGGTATCGTGTTCATCAGTTATTTAACACAAAAGGTCTTAAAAAAAAGCACATTCTGTGCGGCCTGGAAATGCTATAGGTAAGACTATTTAAACAAAGTTTACCCGTTGTTGAACAGAAATGCGTTCTAAACAATCCTCAGTTTGGCTGAATTGTTTACCTAAACATTTACTTTTCTGAACAGCGTTATGCGGGCCTAAAGCTAACAGTGGAAGGACATTTATCTAGTTAAATAAACCCTCTTATAGAGAAAGCCTGAGGCTCACCAATAGTGTAAAACCGTTGTTTGGGTTAGCCTCGAGTTAATAACCACTATGCCTTGTAAGTTTCATTTGAAAAGAAACCAATACAAAACTTATCGCTACGCTTTGTTAATTAAAAAAAAAAATCCCACCAGCGATTGACCCGAAGATCAAGAAAATAAAATTCAAAGATGCACAACAAAGCTCTCAAGAAAATTAAATGCAAAGAGGCGAATAAGTCTCCTGTCAAGATGAAAAAACGGCTTCACATTTTAAGAATAAAAAAAATTATCTCACTCTCAGATTTTGAAATAAAAATGAATAAAGAGAGTCAATTGCGCAAAGGCTAGATGTTAAAAATTACCAAACCATAATAGACTACAAGCAGTCTCTTCTTTTCGGCGAAGTCCGTTATGCGAGTCAAAAGAGAAAAATTCAGTGAAAAAATAGATGTTTGCGCGCCGCGGGGAACTCTTGGAGTGAACGCGATGCGCCTCGAGATCTCCATGATTGAGGATGGAGCTTTCGGAGCGCATCGGCGGTGCGCTAATGTGATTTTTTTTTTTCACTGATTTCGTCGAAAAGGAAGTACTTTACCCGACATAAGCACTAGAGCATCAGTTCTTCAGTTAATAATCCTGGTTAAATGTCCAGAACTACATGACTTTGTTTACATCGCGCAGAATTGGAGTTTTTATGGAAAAACATTTTGACACTGTGCGCGTCATGAGGGCCGTTTGAGATGCTGCGAGAGAGGCCGGAAAATGTTTTACTTTCCTCTGAGCAGCCCTTGGAGAAGCCAACTGCAAGTGTAAGGAATAAAGATAAAAAGCAGCAGTCATATTATTAACTGCTTAGTGGACTTAATGGCTAAATCAGATCGAGCTGGACGGGAAATTATTTAGCGGTCGATCGTGCCGTAAGGACCTACCTGCGTTCGGCCTTCAAGTCATGACCTGCCATATGCATTTCACCGTTCTGCCCTAACAAGAACAATATTATATAGCTGTATTGTAACGAAAGACAAAGAGGAACGAGTTTTGAAGAGCCAACGAATTCTGAGATATTTTTTGTGCTAGATAAAACTAAGAGTTTCGTTGCCATTTCCGGCCTTGTATTGTAGTAAGGATATATCATGTTTTACCTTTCGGAGAAAGTGGAAGTTCTGTGTGGATCTCAGCCAAATTTTTTTCAAAGGAATTCTGCGGGTTGCATAAGAAGTTTTAAAGGGTATCGTGTTTCGTAGTTGCATTATCTAAGCATATTGTGGTCGGTAGAAACTTCCTCTTTCAACGCAACTCTGGTTTAATTTCAAGTCAATTAGTTCCAAAGATCTAATTATCGATCTTGGAAAGCGAAGGAAGACTACAATACTCTCTCAGGTAAACTTAGAATAATGGAAATTACCTTCTGGCCCTGTTGTCAGTCAGATAGGAAAAGTTTGAGCCATCCACATAATTTTTGGCAGTTTCATAGCCAAGCAATGTGCTATTTTGAAAGAATAGCTGGATTGATTGGATCAGGGAAAAGCCCTGCTAATACTTAAGGGAATGTTATTTTTTGCATGCATCCGGGGCGACGATCTTTCCATGTAGCTCTATTGTGTGACGATAAGGTTTCGCGCCCAAACTGGGAAAACTGAACCTTCGCGGACGGCCCAACAATAACTGGGGTGAAATCAACTCGGTAGAGACCACTCGGCAGCGAGAACGGAAACTCGTCACGATTTCCTGGTACACGGAGATCTACTTCGAGCGAGCTTGTACGGACGTCAAGGATGAGACAGCGTTTGGTTCCACAGTAAACTTTATTCTAGGTCAGGCCAACAAGTGACATGATCTCTAGCCTCTTCAGTTTAGTAATCAAGGATATAAGCAACAAAGCTTGGTTAAGTACTATCGAGCGCGTGGTTCTCTTTTCCTTTAAATTGACAATATTTGAAGATGAGCGGAAAACGCCTCTTTGAAGTTAAATGATTTGCATTGAAATATTAATAGACCGGAAATAAAAGAACAGACTCAGTAAACTTTACGCCATTAAAAATAGGAGACTTAGGTGAGAATTCACAACTTTGAAACCGAAAATATACTCATGTTATTACAATAGAGCAGCTCACAAAATAAAATGAAAAATACGTATGATGCACGATCCTCACAGTAGAGAGCGCTATTTATGTAATAGCGAAAATCAGACCTGAAAAAAATCAGGCCTATACGGAATTCGAACCACTGACCTCTGCGATACTAGTGCAGCGCTCTACCAATTGAGCTAACAAGCCAACAGGGATCAGGCCGTTAAGTTGATTCGTAATAAACCCGTGATGATAAATCAGATACAATGTATATATGAAGTCCATATATTTTGCACCGCGGTATTAGATACTTATGATGCACGATCAATTGGTAGTGCGCTGCACTAGTATCGCAGAGGTCAGTGGTTCGAACCCTGTACAGGCCTGATTTTTTTCAGGTCTGATTTTCGCTATTGCATAAATAGCGCTCTCTACTGCGAGGATCGTGCATCATACGTATCTAATACCGCAGTTCAAAATGTATGGACTTCATATATACATTGAAAATGAAAAATACAATTAAAAGTTTCCTCTTATCTAGGCAAGGTTGGTGTTAAGATTTATCGTATAAAAGGAAATTGAAGTTTCGAGTATAAACTCAGCTGCCAACTATCAGGAGAACTAATTTGGCCGGAAAGACCGTTAACACTTATATTTATCTAAAAATTTCACTAGAATTTAACAAGAAAAGTACCGAGATGCAGCTGTACAATTTAACTTGGCTATTCAAAATTTACCTGTGGCTTTTTATTTTTTTATAACATCGCAATGAAAGAAACTCGCATGAGTTTTGAACGCTAAAATACCGAAAACAACGATTAAATATCTTTAAACATCCACAGGGAAAAATCACTAGATTTTCCCGTAAGAATTAGGCACTGAAATAGTTATATTTTTTAAATATTGCCGAGGTACATATTCATTCCTCCGTAAGGTATCTAATTGATGAAATACATAAAACCTTTAAGATATCTCCCAATTTAGAACTAAAGACGAACGCGCAATGGGACTATTTTTTAGCAGTGCCCTATCAATTAAGGCCATATCTCGCACACGCCTCTTCGCATCAAGCTTTTATTTCGTCGTATGCGTGTCATATCACATGTGATGCGTGCTTTCCATTCACCATACTGTTTGAAAACTAGCTAAGCGACGCCTTTGAAGTACTATGTAATCCCATCCTCTGTTTTTCTGTGAGCCCCACTGCAAATGAGTACATCAATGAGCCTAACCAAGTTTAATATTTCATTTTAGGTGAGATTGACCGCAATGGTGGTCCAAGCCTTTGTTCATTTACCAGTTTTCCTCTTCCTGTTGGTATTGTTTCATTCAGTGATTACTCAATACAACAGTGATACACGTGAATTCTCCATCTTTGGGATGATGCTACAAAAGCACATCTTTAAGACAATTACTGGAGCTGCATTCGGCGACGTTTGTTTACGGGAATGTTACCGCGACGTCAGATGCCAAAGCTTTAACTTTGCATTTACCCAGGACAAGTGTGAGCTGAGTAACCGCACCAAGGAAGCCAGGCCTGAAGATTTTATACCCAACTCTGAGAGATACTATTTCAGGCGAGACATGGGACGAAGTGAGGTTTGAGGCAAAATGATACACCTTATCGTCCTAGAGGGGGAAAATATAGCGTTTTTTTCTTTCTTAATCTCTAGCTCATCTCGGTGCCATTCCAGAGCTGCCTGCAGACTCATGTAAGGAAATCAAGGCGAGTGAAGGTGGACAAGCGGTCAGCGGATTATACTGGTTGAATTTCATCAAACCTGACACTCCTGTCTTGGCTCACTGTGACATGAAGACCGAAGGTAGAGTAAGACAATTAAACAGAACGGATATATTGTTAGCTTTTGTGCAATCTAGGATCATAAGTTTGGCCGTCCAGGTGAGAGTTGACCCGTGAAAGACTGTTACTATTAAGGAAAAGTTTGAATTCACTAAAATGTCTTGAATTTTTTCCATTATCTATTTTTATACCTCTGTTCAGTACATTCTATGCTCAAAGGAACTAGTTCAGAAGTAGCAAGGAACTGCTGTGTCAAGCTCTTATAAAGTTCACAATGGCGGAGCTTTCAAAACATCACATTTCAAGAAAAAGAATAAAAATTAAGATGTTCTACTATGTTCTTCGTTTGTCGGATCAAAAATTCACAACGAGAGATGTTTAATTCTTCTAAAATAACTATCTGCTAAAGCTTTCTTATTTTCCAATTTGAAACGATCTGAGGAAACTAACATAAGATTTTCAATAAGAAAATGAAAAGGATTATTCATGTTATTATACATTGAGGTCACCATCTGTCTTCTCATTGGCTAAACGCCCACAATTAATTCTGGGAAACAGCGCAGCCTACAGGTTATTCAGTAATCTGTACCTTTAGATTAGTGAGTAATCTGTACGATGCGCGCGCAATGCATGATTTGTGGTGGAGCAATATCAAGTTCACGGACTGCAAAGTAAGAATGGCTTCTCGACTCGCTTCATCGACCCAGCGAGAAATTGAGAAATTACTTGAAGATTAAGATTCGGAAAATATTAAAAGATCGACAAAAGTGGCGAAGGAGCTGTTCTACGAATACCTTAAAGAGAAAAATATCCAGGAGCCACACGAAAGAAAGGAATTAGCCCAAACGAAAATTTCTTTACCACACAGTTGTAAAGTATAAGTGCTCGAAAATAAACTGTGTTTCCTGCGATAATGCGTTTGGCGTTATTTTCTCTAAAGCAATGTATAATTAAAACAATTACTGGATGAGGTTTTTGTGATAACCGGAATAATCAAGGTCTCGGTTAGTGTTATCAGCCTCAGCCCTCGGCTTTGGCTGATTACACTTACCTCGACCTTGATTATTCCGGATATTACAAAAACCTCATCCAATAACTGTTTATTAGCAGTTCATAATTAGACTAAATAAGAGTTATTTATTCCATTAAAGATGCTGACGAGTGTAATGCCTTTATCCGTGTTTGTGATGAGAACGCCGACTGCAAAAACACTCTGGGATCATATCGCTGTTCTTGCAAAACCGGTTTTTCTGGCGATGGACATACTTGCAAAGGTAGAAAGAGATTTCACTATTGAGCTAACGCTGTGATCTTTAGCAGACAACATTTAGGCCGCACGTGCTCAATTACAAATCAAATTTGGTTTTTCGTCAAGCAAGTTTGGACGTCTCTGAGCTAGTTTATCACTTATCGGATTCATAACCAAAACAAATTCCGGTACTTCTCCTATTAATCCTTTCTCAGTTTCTTATTTACTGTTTGTATCGAGCGGCCAATTATACCAACAGATATTGATGAATGTGCCAGTGGTGAACACGACTGCCACGTTTCAGCTTCATGTACCAATACTGAGGGATCCTTCAACTGCTCATGCAACCATCTTTACGTAGGGGATGGAAGATCTTGCATTATTCTCCCATCAGGTTGGTATACGAATCGAGTCTTCTTATAGTACAGTATTCTTTCACGCGGGCATCTACAGCCTGGTGTGATAGATAGCCAGATAGATGGATTTTTACACGATAAAAGTTACAGCTACTTAGAATTTGTGGTCGTGTAAACAATAAAACAGAAGGTAATTAAGCAAATAGCACCAAACAGAAACTTTTTTTTTAACGGGAGGTTTTTGATCCAGCTGGCTGTGCGCGTGAAGTGAGATGACGCGAACCCTACGATCTTATATTGGCTATCCAGAAGAGATTTCTCACTTTGATCTTGGAGGAACAGAGTTTGTAGCAGTGAGGATATAACGTCAAAACAAAAAGCTTTGACGAGTTTTCGTGAATTTACGTGGGTGCAACTCTTTCATGTAATATTTTTGCCATGGAATAAATCCGTTACTGACCTAGTTTGGTTGGTGACTGCAAGCGACTATATCGTGAGACAAACGACGAAACAGTTTACTGATATCAATTGGAATTAACTAATCTCAAGAACACAGTGATGGAGAAATGGCACCTTATTCAAAACCTACCGGGCTCATGAGTAATATTTAATGAGCCACTTCAATTGACATCAAAGATATCCTGATCAGAGCTAAACTTTGCGGGAGTCACGTTGGCTCCTCAATGCGTTTCAGCGAAATCACTCATCCTATTTTCTTCTACGTTTCTTTGCTTCAGCTTGTCCTCCGAATACGGGATGCTATGAAAAGCGAACCATATTTTAAGGAAGCTGTATTGCTGCAGCCTCCAACAACACACCTTCCGGGCGCACTTCCGAATCGTTCTTTTCCTGGGTTGTAGTGTGACTTCTCTCTCACTAACCGGATATGAGTAATATCGAATCGGTTCCTGGGATGAATACCGTCATGAGTCAGCCGGCCCAATTGACCCTATTACTCGGTCGTAAACATTTTGGGATCTTTGAGAACTGTTAAAAAAAATCTGAATATATGGAACACTAATCTACTCGACTTTGTCCTCAGTAAGATAAGGAGAGTTCTTTTTTCAAAGAAACTTTTGGGGGTCAGTATTATATTGACACTTTAAAGAGTCCTCACACTTCTCGCTAAGAGTAGGGAACGTTGCTCCCAGTGTTGTGGTCTGGCCCTCAGTTATTGTTTAAACTAGTACCCATTTCAACCAGCTTCAAGATGAACGGGCCCCGCCTGTCTAAATAAATAAATTTCTTTCGAAGGGTTGTTTCACTTATTTGAATTTCTTTGATCATTTCTTCTCTGTCTATTTTAGAATGTCAGAACTGTCAAAGTCTGACAGGGGCAGACAGAAGGATAAATTACACCAATCAAGACACGATTTGCGATAATGGACTTAGGGGATGGTACCGTTTTCAAGGAGCAGCAGGTACAAGAATGCCCACTTCATGTCCCCCTAAAAACCGATGTAACTCCCATGCACCCGGCTGGGTAAATGGCACGCATCCCGCAGAGGCTGATGGTCAGGTCACCAGGACGGTTTGCTTCCACTGGTTGTCAGACTGCTGCTACAAGTCAAGTTCCATCAAAGTGATAAACTGCGGCGGTTACTATGTTTACTACATAAATGGCACACCCACATGTTTCCTCCGCTACTGCAGCACAGACTAAATAGATGCTGGTTCAGCAACATATTCTAAGGAAGCTGTATTGTCCTTTGATTTTGTCGGGACAATTCTAGTTTTGTCTACTAGTGCGGATATAACATAAACTCTACTACTATAGTCATCTTTCAAACCGGCAGTCTAACGAACGCTTTGCATTCCACTAATTTATTCGTGTTTTTCTCGTTGCTATGTTCTTACCAATAACGTAGTTCCATTTTCTGCCTTTAAAAGCACACACAACCCACAATTCCTCTATTCGCTCCTACAAAGGGCTAACGCTCGAAACGTCAACTTTTATAATCGTAACGGTGGCCAATTTACCATTTCAACTTTGTTGATATATTCAAATTATTTCGTTACCCCCAACGACGCAGCCCCAGTTTCTTTAGAAACTACCAGCCTTTGCTATAGTCATAACTTTGGATGGCATTGAGAAAATAAAAACTGAAAAATATAGCAACAAAACAGTCTGAATAATTACGCGAGCGTCTGTAAGTTAAATGTCTTTTATTTTCCTTCATTGAAGCAGAGATGGCGAGAAATTGCAAAATCACGCCATCTGAGTTTTCAAAACATATGAAAAGATCTAGAAAGTTAGATAAAGCTTATCTTTGATTTTTTAAATCAATTATACAATTGTTAAACTGTCAGATTGGCATAATTAGTAGAATTGGGTGCGTTTGGCCCTGAGGCTACAAAATTTGCATGCACCTCGCCACCGGCCAAAGAGTTACTACAGGCGTTATTCCCGTGATTCAAATTGTAATTATACGGTAAATAGCAGCTCGAATACTTGTTAGGGGACTGGTGCGAGATTTGTTTTCCGCTTTGTTTTCACCTCGGCATTAGCAATTTCATAGAATTCAGCCAGTTCATCAGGGCTTACGGAGTGAAGAGCACAGTTTAGTTTTCTCCAGCCATTGAGTTAAATTCTTCAGATCCCAAGAGGTCTGTCTTCTGTAATTTTTTTTTTAAAGCGAACTCAGCTTCTAACTTCTTCCCCAGGCCCTGAAGATTAAAAAAAATTTCTTACTCTGACAACTCCCTATGTTTTTTTTTTTAGAATATCCAGCCTAATTATTTACTTGCTTTGATTCCGTATCAAAATTTATAACGTTTGTAAATAATGGGATAAAAAGTGAAGAAAATCATTTTCATTTCACGTAGTATCCCTCAGGACACACAGAACTACCTAATGGTGAGAGTTTACATGGTGAGCCCCTGAAAAACGCCCAAAGCAACATCTTTTCAGAATATGCCACTGATATTGTTGTCAAGAAGCTTTCCCCATCTGCCAACTGTCAACGGAATGAAAGTCTAAATAATACCATAGCAAAAAAAACCCCCAAAACCCGTTATTACAGAGGAAGTGCAAGCAATGACTTTAGAGTAGCCTGTGGTGTGGCCCAAAGAAATCTTGGCTATGGCTATGTAAGTGCAGCGTTAGAGGTACTGGATATCGAACCCGGCTATTTTTGTACATCACATGAAGATCTGATGGACAAAAAAGTGTTAAGTGACAGAAACCGGAAGGCTACAAAAAATTTCAAGTATAGGAGTAATCAATTACGGGGTCAGAAATCCAGTCAAAAAAGTCAAAAAGAAGCTAAGGAGGGGAAAACTTATGAAACTGCAGTTGTTTTGAATCTGGATACAAGTGTCAATCAACCTTCACCAAGAACTCACACTCACGTTGAACATCTTTTTGGAAAACATTTCTGATAATGAGCTTCATGAGTAAGAAAAACTAGTACCATCCTACTATGCTCAACCTGATCTGCCAAAACTGACTTATGATCCAAACCAAACTTACACTTTGAAGTTCATTTGTTTGTTTAAGCAGGTTGATTAATTGGCAGCTGTAATAGCTGATGTGGACCTGCTGTCCTAACCCACCCATCCCACCCCAGGGGAGGACATCCATCACACAGTAATCTCGTGTGTGGGAAATTAACGTCTCCTGCCCCAACCCTGCAGGAGACGGGACCTCCATTTATTCGTCCCTATCCGAGAAGACTAGAATATCTAACCATTTCTTGATGTTATAGAAAGGTAGCAAATTCTTCTCAATTATTTTAAGACCTTGAGTGTTGGTCCGGCCGGGGCTCGAACCCTCGACCTCCCGCACTACAGTCCAGCGCTCTATCCATTGAGCTAACCGGGAGGCGGTTAGCTCAATGGATAGAGCGCTGGACTGTAGTGCGGGAGGTCGAGGGTTCGAGCCCCGGCCGGACCAACACTCAAGGTCTTAAAATAATTGAGAAGAATTTGCTACCTTTCTATAACATCAAGAAATGGTTAGATATTCTAGTCTTCTCGGATAGGGACGAATAAATGGAGGTCCCGTCTCCTGCAGGGTTGGGGCAGGAGACGTTAATTTCCCACACACGAGATTACTGTGTGATGGATGTCCTCCCCTGGGGTGGGATGGGTGGGTTAGGAGAAATTCTCCAAAACGTAGCAACGAAGCAAGCTTGTTAACGGCACTTCAAAAAATAATTTACAGGTCCACTTGAACGACTGATTAAGCTGATGAAATCGACCCAAAATCGAGCGAGTGACTCTTCGAAACAAATCAAGGTTTTGACCAGCGAACAACGTTTGCGCATGCGAAAAGCGGGATCTTGTAAAGGCCAGATTTTGGAAACACGCGAGACGTGCGTGGATTTTCTTTAGACGCGAAGTGAATAATTTAATAAACAAGTCCAGTGACTCCACTATTTTATTTTAAAATTGGGTAGTGTAGACTAAGAGAAAAGTACTGGTAAAATTTGAAAAAATTCTCTGGACCGGATTTATAGCCACTCAAAAGTTACGGCTTTTGACTGCTCCAGAGATATTTTTTAAACTCTCTATAATTGCTTCCACTTCCATGTAAAATTGGATAAAATTAATAAAAATAGGGGTCACCGAGTTAATTTTTGCGCTATTAGCGTTAGAAGCTCCATGATAGCTCTTCTTTACAACCATATGCTATTACTTTGGTAACAGCTGATGACGCCACGTGATTATGTTTTGGTTCACTGATGATTGAGCTAGCAACTGTTACCAAGTAGCTGTAAGAAAAATTTTTTTTTTATTGAGTCCCTCAAATGTAAAAGTGCTAGAAAACCTAAAAACTATTGTGAGCCACCTTAAGAGTATTGTATACATCGGTACATAGGTAGAGGGACACAGGATCATGAGTTTAACTACTGTCACGTGCTACCCTCTCGAAATGAAGTCTATTGTGTTGTACTGTATTGTACTTTAATGTACAAAGCTAAACACAGCCTTAGCCCTTTGAATATTTGTAATTGAATGAATTCCTCATTTATATTGTTATTATCCTTATTGTAATATCTTTCAGAAACACAACTCTTCCTATAATTTAAGACAGGTCGACTTTCCTATTCCTAGATACAACACCATAACTTATGGCAAACATTCACTACGCTATTTAGGACCTAAATTATAGAGTGAACTGACAACTTATGACAGATCAGCCACAACATTAGCTAGTTTCAAAAACCGCGTACGTAAGCGTGACCTGAGCTCTCTATTAGACGATGGCTGCAGGGGCTGTGCTCTAACTAATTCTTAATTCATGCATGGTATGACTTAATTTTATTTTTAGGTAGGTAATATTCTTTGTAAATACTGTTTATCCATTTTATTTGTGTCCCCACATTAGTATGGGATTTCTCCCAAACTAGAAGATTCTTTGAAACGTTGATAGCGGGGCTCCCACGCGCGCGAAGTGCGAAGCGCGCGTGGGGCAGAGCCCCGTACCCATGGAATATGGTCAACCACTTTTCGTTTGGATGTCATGTGACTGACCGAGCGTACGTGCCTTCGAATTGCACGAGTATGGTAGGAGAGACTATCAAAACGAAAGGAGGGTGTCTCAGGCGAGTCTTGGCAAATGCACATCTTTTATGTTATCATTAATATTACGAACTTGGGAGCTCCGCTTTTAGGCTTGGCTAAATCTATATGTTAAAGTTTCTGTCTATCTATCTATCTATCCATCTATCTATCTATCTATCTATCTATCAAACAATCTGTGACGAAACAATTTGTCACATTCTTAGACAATAACAACAAGTTATCACAATTTCAAAGTGGCAACCGTAAATATCACTCCACCGAAACGGCTTTTCTTTTTGTCACTAATGACCTATTAAAAGCTATGGATGAAAAGGAAATCTCAATATTGGTGTCGATAGATATGTCGAAGGCTTTTGATAGTATAAACCATGACATGTTATTTAAAATTCGCAGCCTTGGTGTGTCTCCATCACCGCTAGAATGGTCTAAAAATTATTTAAAGGGAAGGTATCAGTTTGTTCGTATTGGGGATGAGGTTTCAAAGTCCCTCCCAGTTGATTATGGAGTTCCACAGGGATCTATTCTTGGTCCCGTTCTGTTTACTGTTTACATAAATTATTTGCTATCTATACCTCATCCTCGGAGACCCAGGGGCTGTGAGTCGATTTCAAGTTAAGGGCAGAAGAGCCCCCTGGGGACATTGTCTTACAAGACAATGACAAACAGTTCCAAACAGTTCCAAACGGTCGCAGTCGTTCTGTCATCTGATTGGTGCCAGAAAATCTGTGTTTTTTTTCTGCCCAAACAGAGTGAAGTGTGCTTTGGAGTCCTTTCGTATGTTTTAATACGGACATATACAAGAAGCTCTGTCGCTCGCTATGTTTGTTTGAGCCGTGCGACAAAGCTTTGCCCGTGGTGAAAAGTTTTAGTCTCAGCACACAATGTAAAAGAAATCGATCAGATTGTCCGCGAAAATCTTACCGGTAATTATACTGAATACTTTCGCAGGTATCAGAAGAGAACGTGTTTAAAAGTTTGCTAGGTTCGTATCAAACATAATGGTTGCAGGCATCGATATGTCGCTTTAAACGTTAAACGAGATGTGAGCTTAAATCTTACTACCAGTGTGGAGTTTTTGTATAATTTGCTGTAACTAAAACTTTTGCAATCCCATGAAGCTATTTCGTCGCACGGGCCACGTAGGTATGTCGAGTAACTGGCGCTTACGCAGCTTTCTGTGCGCGCCAAAATCTAAAAAAAAAAGAAAAGCTAAGCGTGGAATCTTTTGTTTATTAGATGTGGGTAGATAGCCCTGTTCTAAGCTGACATTTACAATAAAGCAAACCCGCCCTTTCCATCAACTATTTCCTTGTCTTTGGTTTTGTTTTCTCCAATGAAAGCAGCATCGATTCTCAATGATCAAAGGTATTTAACTTGGTCTTCAACAATCGACAAATGAGGTGAAATGACAATGACCAAGGGAGAAGAAGAGCATCCGTGGCCTTTTGAGCTCAAGAATTTGAACACTCTAGGCACCAGTTGAAAGATTAAACTCTTTCCAAACCCCTTCGGTAACTGTTTGAAAACATCTCTCCTTCCCACGATAATTAGTTTTTGTTCAGATTTCAATTAGCTAACCGGAAACACAGCTAGGCTTTCTGTAAACGCTTGCTGGAGGTCGTCCACGAAATTAACGTTCTCTGCAACTTTGGCCATATTGTGAAAGACTTCACTTCAAAGCAAAGATTAGATCATTTTTGGCGTGCACAAAGCTACGTAAGCATAAGCGCCAGTTGCTCGACATACCTGCGTGGCCCGTGCGACGAAATAACTTCACGGGATTGGCAAAGTTTCGGTCACAGCAAATTGTACAAAAAATCTAGAAAGATTTAAGCTTACATCTCGTTTAACGTTTAAAGCGAAATATCAACGCCTGCAACCATCGTGTTTTATACGAACCTCGCAAACTTTTGTACACGTTCTCGTATGATACCTGCGAAAGTATTCAGTATAATCTCCGGTGAGATTTTTGTGGACAATCTGATCGATTTCTCCAATATTATGTGCTGAGACCGACACTTTTCAGAAGGCTCCGTCGCACGGCCCAAACAACCAAAGCGAGCAACTGAGCTTCTTCCATATGTGCGTGTTAAAACACACGAAAGGACTCCAAAGCACACTTCACTCTGATTGGGCAGAAAAACACAAAGATTTTCTGGCACCAATCAGATGCCAGAACGACCGCGACCGTTTGGAACTAGTCTTGTAAGATAATGTCCCCAGGGGCTCTTCTGCCCTTAACTTGAAATCGACTCAAAGCCCCTGGATCTTCGAGGATGTCTATACCTAAACGTTGTAAATCTGCTGTTTATGTTGATGACTCCAAACTTTACTTGAAATTTAAAACTAGTGAGCTATAAAATGCAGTCTCTGCAGTTAACTCTGACCTAAACGAATTTTGTATGTGGTGTTGCCACAATTCACTACTTTTAAATCCAGATAAAACTAAACTTTTAGAGGTAGGCGTGCCGCAATTGCTACGCCAGTTAACTGATTTTACGATAACGCTTTGTGGTAAACAAATATCACCTATACCTGTGGCAAAGGATCCTCGAGTGTTCGTAGACCAGTGTCTCTCTTATGATGAACATGTACGTAAAACTGTTGCTAGCTGTATGAATAGACTGATTCAAATCAATAGAATTAAACATTTACTTAATAGGGAAACGCTGTAGCTAATTATTAATAGTTTTTTTTTAGTAGGCTGTTTTACAATTTTTTAAATATAGACTAGTGAGCAGCACTTCTGCGAACAGTAGTTGTAAAACTTCTTTTATTTTCCTACGCGTTTCGTCTAACTGTCGTAGACTTCTTCAGGGAGTTTTACAAGCATAACTAAACGCCTGTATTTATAAGCCAAAGTTACAGGGGCCCATGACTGTAAAGGCTTGGCCGGACTTACAAACAGGAACAGGCGAAGTTGTGAAAAATTTGTGAAAAATTTGTGAAAAATTTAACACGTGTAAGGCAAGGTGAGAAAAATTTTTTGGGGGCATACTATGTAAAAACTATGGCATACTATGTAAAAACTGTTTCCCAGCTTGGTTTTTTTTTAATATTGTTTATATTTAGGTTTGACACATGAAAATAAATAACTGAAAACAAACAATAGGATAAAAATTTACTGAGTGTGTTACAATACGATGTTATGGTCAGTTTGTTGTCTGCTGGTAAGTGTCGTTTAGTGAATACGAACTTCCGGTTTTTACCTAGTTCATTTCCGCTTTGTTGCTCCCGGCCAGGCCGTCGGCGAACGCCGTCGGCCAGGCCAACCGCATACCATTCCAGGATACATTGCGCGCTTTTAAAAAATGGCGGACGCAACGAATTGGGGTGATGCTATATCGAAGGCGCTCGTCGAGGGTAAGAGTAAACGGTAAGTTTGGTCAGCGGGGAAATTATGAAACCCGCGAATATTTGCGAAAGCCCGCGAAAGGATGACATTTAAAACTGAAAACAGTTTTTCAGTGAGACACTAAAATGCGTAATCATGGCGGCGACTATTCAATCGTCTTTAAACAAATCGGAGATTGAGTTCCTTGAGGAAAACCTTGAAAATTGTTCTGTTAAAAACCAGTACTTTTTGGGTTATTTCGATGGGAAAAGAGACGAGTTCGAGGATATAATCGTTGCAGATTAGTGACGTAAATTGATATTGGAGAAGATTCTTCCTAGTGTGGGACTGACTTAAGACTAGGCTAGGCTGTGTACAATTCCTGAAAATCTTGTTCGTTATTTTACGAATCATTTGATGTTTCAGTGTTGACAAGTTTTTCGTATTACATTACTAAAAAAATTGACTTAACGCTCCAAGGAGAATCTCTCTCAAACTTTACTTTTTAAGAGATGAAGCTACCGTCTAAAATTCAAACGTTACTGTTAGGTTTATTAGCGCATTGACAACCTTGTAAATTAGCTCAAACACACTGAAAACATTTGTATTAGTTTTTGTATATCCTTATACTTTGTTCAGTGCGACCTTACACATTTCGGGTTTGAACTTTTCGTTGGGAATAAGTGGTACAGCTTACATGACATATTTTATATTTAACCGCTGTACTATAAATTTGTGTGTTCGACCCTCGACGAGCGCCTTCGATATAGCATCACCCAACGAATTGAACCCTGATGACTCGAGCTTAGCGAGGCCTCTTACCGAATAAAAAACAGAGGTGAGATTTTACTCGATACATTGTGTTTACTTCGCTGCAGTAGTACTGCAGTGTAATAAAGGTGTGATTAAAGTTCCACCAAAGATCACTCGCATAATCTGTTAGAGCATTAGCTATGGTGGTGTGATCTCCAGTGAAAAATTAATTGCTGCCGCACTTTGGGATCGAAGTTTCAAATGTGGCAATGGGTGCAATTTTCCCCCTCTAATGATTTACTTAAAGTAAAGGAAATCCTAAGAAATTAATTAAACTCACTACAGGGACTGAATTGCCCAAAAACCACAGAATTTTTAGTATTTTATTTCTCTTTTATTTATCTGTTTTGAACCAGGGGTGCTGGTGTTTTCTTTGGGAGTAAAGGGGAGTTTTTTATTCTCTAAAAGGTATTGCACTTCAGAAGGTAGATTAGAGCTGAAATGCAATGAAAGCAATTTTATTTCAATTAGTGGCAAAGTTAGGTAGTTCTTGTAGGTATAGTATTGTAAACAGTATATTACAAGTTTTTGATCCTGAGTGGTATACGGTCGAACCTGGATTATCCGGATTATTCGATTGTCCGGAATTTTTTCTCTGGTCCCAATTTTTTCATGAATATTAATTAGGTGTGATCTTGAAAACTCAAAGCAATCAATTCAAGCTACAAGTCTTTGAAGCAAACAAACATGCTTGGACACTTTAGACCTATGTAAATGCCTGAACTGAAAGTTTATTTGTAGATACATACAGGCTGTGTAGATTTCAGATTTAAAATGATGTTTTCTTTGCTGTACACCTTTTGTTTACATTTCTATCTCATTAACATTCATATTTTCGATTATTCAGACTCTCGATTATCCGAATTATTTACTGAGGTCCCGACAAGTCTGGACAATCGAGGTTGGACTGCATTATAAAGGTAAGGAAGCTGATGTATTGTAAGTATAATGTGTGGTGTCATAAGTAAGATTTTTAAATACAGAAAAAAAAAAGAGAGAAATAGAGAAGAAACCAATTAATTGCACAGTAAAATACAAGAAACAAAATTTTGATTCATGATTTTTTTGTCTCTGATTGGTTGATTAGGTGGTGCAAATACTTTCTGCCAATCACAGACCAAGGTTATTGAAAAGCTTAGAAATATTACATTGTTTTCACTCAATCTAATTTATAACTAGACACATAGCAGTGTGAACTTGCGCTTTCAATATCGCACATTTGGAGTTATCTTTAGGGGACTGCCTTATTGCCATTGTTATTGTCTTCATCCAGTTTCTTCATTCAGTCTTGACCTTTTTTGTTCAAAATCTTCCTTGCGATACATTTACCTGTCCAGGGTTTGTTTAGGTTTAAATTTTCTAAAAACATGATTTCTACGTTAGTGGACAGAGTTTGGTATATTTATGTTCAAATTAATAATCTACTGATGCTTTTAATGTGGTTACATGACCCTCTGGGTTTCTACTTTTAGCAATGGCTACTGTTTTGCAATTAGAACAGGATGGGGTACCTGTGGCCAGATTTCCAAGCTCAGGTTTTTTTCTGAGTGTCATCGATTTTTAACCTAAAATCATTAGGTGGTCATCCAAAATAAAGTTTTTGTTGCCCGAAGAAGACTGTTAATGAGAATTCATTGTGTGTAAGATATGTGGGTCATTGACCAAGTGTGAGGTCAAGATGGCTGGATATTGGCCATTCAAATTCTTTTTTTTGAATTTTTATTTGCCAAGATGAAGTTGTGGTCCATACAAATTCAAAAATGAAAGAGGCCATTAGAATGAAGAAACCCGGTCAAAGATTACGATTGTTGTTAGTTGGTGCACAGAATGTTTTTCTTGCACGGGATCAATGCAGAATTTGTGTGATAATCACAAGCTTCTTTAGTTTGTGATAATTCTTTCTATTCTTATGACATTAACCCCTAGCACCCTAACATCAGTATGCATATTCTCCATACTGTCCTCTTTACATTCCCTATTGGGCTGAAGAGGAGAATTTGAAAAATTTGCAAGTGCTTATCGCATGAGAAATCATGTTATTACTCATTCATAATGTACACATGAAAGATACACATTCACAGGAAATCAACAAACTGATAGCGGATAAATTTGACAGTATTGGCTAAATGAACACTATGAAATCAAAACCCATAAAAATCTTGTGAATCTATTCATGATAAATTCACAGATTTTTCACAGGATTTTCAGAGTTAAATCAAAGGCTTTTTCATGGTCTCAGTGCCATGAAAAAGGCATGAAAAAATCCCATGAAAAACCTTTGAAAATTTTTCATATTCACGACTCATGAAACATTGTGTAAAGTGACCTAGAAGCCATGAAATACCCATGAAAATGGCATATCATGACCTTTTCAAAGGTACTGAAAAACCCACGAATTTCATGTCAAAAGAATTCATGGTGTTACAATTCACTAGGTTCTAATGGGTTGTAGGAAATCATGACCCATGAATATCCTGTGAATATGTAAAAAATTCATTGACCATGAAAATTTTCCCTGAAAGTTAATTGGCAGTTAGTTTTCATGGGGTTCTTGGGAATATGCAAGCACCATGAAAATTCTTTGGAAACCTCATGAATTTGGAATGAAAAAGTCTCCTCTTTACTTGACAGTGCCAAATACTATACTACAGTGTATATGTAGCTGTATGCTTGCAATACAATAAAACTCTTGTGTGCTAAAACTTAAATGTAAGCTGTCTAGCAGCATTTAATTTTCATGTTATACTGGTTATTTTTGTTGAATCTGCAAATTTAAATTCAAAGATTTCTACTCAATTTTGACTGAACACTCTTGGGAGTGAAGGACTTAATTACAGTTAAATAATTGATTTTTGAATTACAATCTTGTTGTAACTGTAATAATAAACTGTGATGAAGTTATCCTTAACTATAGATTAAACAGCTGTTTGCCTTTTTATGCTAGGCTCACAGCTTGTCAAACGTGACTAAAATAATCTATTATTGACACTTTGCAATTAACACAATCGACTGCTACTTTATGAAAAATTCCTATTTATGTTAAGAATTACTAAAACTTAGTTTGAATAATAAATTTCATGATAAACATATATATACAAAAATCATGTATGTATATCTCTTGGTACATTTTGTATAGCATACCTCTCATTGAACCAAAGTTTTAGGCCTCTAACATTACTCCTTGTCTTAAAATCTTTACATTCAAGATATTGAGAATTTCTTGGAATTATTTGATTGCCATTCATGGGACATGAAATTATTTCTGGTGACTTTCTGAGGAAACCATTAGGTCATGAAAGTAGACTTTAAAGAAATTAATGGGTCATGAAAGTAGGCTTTAAAGAAATTAATGGGTCATGGAATTCATTCAGATGACTCTCAGGGGAAATTAACGGGTCTTGAAAGTAGACTTACAGAAATTCATGGGTCATGAAAGTAGAGTAAAAGAAATTCACGGGTCATGAAATTAGACTTAAAGAAATTAATGGGTCATGAAAGTAGGCTTTTAAAGGAATTAATGAGTCATGGAATTCATTCTGGTGACTTTCAGGGGAAACTCATGGGTCATGAAAGTTGCTTTAAAAGAAATTAATGGGTAATGGAATTCATTATGGAGACTTTCAGGGAAAATCATGGGTCACGAAAGTAGATTTAAAAGAAATTCATGGGTCATGAAAAGAATTCCCCTAATTCATGGAAAATTCAGGGCTTAAAATAACCCCATGAATTTTCATTTTGCAGTATTCATGGGCCATGAAATGGTTTTCAAGGGTTTTTCACTAGAAATTTGTGGAATTTTCATAAAATTACAGTTCATAGTGGAAGTGTGTGCTATCAAAATTTGTCCTTCAGCTGATATCTTACTCAGGAATGCAATTTTGATAGTTTTTATTAATAGACATCAAAATATCCAAGCATTTGTTTATTTTGGTCAGCTACTCTATGTATAAATCAGCACAACCTACTTTGTGTAAATTTGATTGGTTACATACATGCAACTTTATTTGATTTGTAGGTTGAAGGAAGGCAGTAAAAGACTGATGTGGACCTACCAAAACTATACTTAATACAACTAAACAACTACTAAGATATAAATAACTACATTGAAATTCTCTAAATATGTTAAAATTACATTAAAATGCCCAAGATATGTTTGGGGTTTAATAATAATAAAAATCAGATTTCTTATTAGTTATTAAACAAGACTTCTTCCCAAAACTCATTTTCTCTAAAAGTTCTGAATCGTTTTTAATCTTAATCTTGAAGCTTGAGGAGTTGGCTTCTTTTTTTTGTAAGGTTCTGGATGCGTATTCCACAAAGTGGCACCTCTATAACTTAAAAAATTTCTACCTATTGAATAGTTATAATATGGTGTAATGAATTTTTCTGCTCTCCTGAAATTATGATAACTCTGCTTGTCTTTATGAAACAGCTCGCAAATGGATTTGGGAGCTTGGTTATAAAAAACTGAGTGCATAAGTGAGGCTAGTTTACACTTATATACATTAGTTAATGTCTGCCAATTAATTTGTTTTAGTGCGCAATCAAAATTGTCTGTGAGACCATGGATTACTTTTGCTGCCCTTAGAATGTATTCACTCAAGGTAAATAACAAATTGGGGTAACAAGTACCCCAGATTAACATGCCATAGGTAACACTAAGGACAACACTACTAAAGTAAATAGTTTCCAAAACTTTCTTCGGTAAAATCCTAAGGCGTTTTAAATAGTTGACTTTTTGACTATATCTCTTGCCAACTGAATTGTGCGTTCAAACACGGTAGTAACTGTTTAATGAGTAACATCTCATTAACGAGACAATCAAAGTTGTGGCATTTTTCAACACCTTAAAACAACTGTGAAAATCATTCGGAATCCTGCCTGCGTGTCTATTATCATAGTGTTTGCGCACTGACGAGGTCTTGCTTCTATGTCCATCAACGCGTACGAAGAGGTGGCCACGGGTGTATCCGTGAAGGCACATTTAAAAGACGTCAGTGTGAAACTCCACACCATTGTCCAACCAGTGTTTACGAGCCGCAAGATTGCCTAGGAGTTCCCGACAAGCGAACCAAAGCCTCAGCTCATTGATCAAGAATGCGTTTTATATAACTTCATGTGTGACCAGTGCGATGTTGGTTATGTCGGATACACCCGTGGCCATCTCTTCGTACGCGTTGGTGAACGTAGAAGCAAGAACTCGTCAGTGCGCAAACACTACGATAATAGACACGCAGGTAGGATTCTGGATGACTTTCACAGTTGTTTTAAGGTGTTGAAAAAATGTCACAACAACTTTGATTGTCTCGTTATTGAGATGTTACTCATTAAACAATTACGCCCGTGTTTGAAAGTACAATCAGACTCAATTCGCGCTGAGCTGTTTGCCTGACCTATGCAAATGAGTGACTCCGGATTCTTACTTACTCTTGAGATAGCATATTTCATTTAGTTTTCCTTGACAATGGCGCCAAGATGTCACCGAAACGTTGGACTTTTATCGTTAGTTTTTGGCTGTATAGTCCTAATTTGCATACGTTAAAAGACACAATAAAGAAAGTAACAAAAGCCTTAATTAAATTACTTGTTTTCAGTGAGAAAACTATACGTGCATACTAAGTTTTTATTATAAAATCAAGATGAAAGACAAAAATCTCTAAATACTTTCGTTAAAGTGCAAACAGGCATGCGGATCAGATTTCAGAGTGAATATGCAAATTTGGCCGTGTGTGAAGAGATCTCATGTTACACGGAGTTTTACAATGAGAAGCACGATGAAAGTGAGCAAGAAATATTTCAGGACAAAAGCTTTATTCAAAGCAGTTCTTGATTTGCTGTTCGAAGCGAAAAACTGCGAATTTCTTACGTGTACGAAGCCCACACAGTGGAATTCATCGTGGTTATATTGTGGTGTACTTGACTTTACGGCCAGAAAATTGCATAGCGTTAGGTTGAAACTTCTGAAAATACGACGATATGACACAAAGTCTTCAATACTTTCTGACAAGTTGTTGCTGACACATAATATTTACTAGGCCATGGAATCGTCAAATTAGCAAGGGCTCGCTTGAAGTCCTAAAAGTTGGTTTCAATGATATCACAAACAACTAAGTAGCAAAAGATATCAGTGTTAACGATATAGTGAATTTCTTATTCTTGTTGTCTTAATAATTAATTGTACGAAGATTTAACTTCTAGTTTTTTGCTGTGAAAACTTTTTTTCTGATAAATTTGGTTAAAAACAACGGTGTGCAATATACATGGGCGCGTATTTTACTTGGGTCTCTAGCCATTCCAAAGAGTGTACTTATCACTGTCAACAATGCTTAATTATAGGGTGCAATACGTTGACTCAGTTGAGAAACATTTATCAGATAAAGTAAACATTTAGCTTGTCAGTGTTTAGTCTTCATATTACTGTCTGATAAAAGTTAATTTGACGATTTATCAATAAACAACTCCCTTAGTTTATTGGTTTTTCCCAATTTTCTTCCACTGATCAGCATGCTGTATCCCACTTTGATGTTGGGGACATCGTAAGTGGCAAAGTTGATCCAAGAACTCTCAAGTCCCACGAAAAAATTAAATATCTCAAGAGCCATTTCACTCCGCCTCCTTCATACACAGGCTTTTTCTCCAAGACTGTGGTTAAGGGAAAAGACAAACATACCAAGAAGCTTGTGTTCCAGCCCTCATGGTTGGAAAAGTATACGTGGCTTGTGGATAGTCCTTCACAGATGGGAGGGTTTGTAACTACTGTGTGATGCATAATAATTCATCAGGTCCTCGAGCACAGAAACAGCTCCATTCCAAAAGCTAGAAAAAGCCACAGGGAAAGATGGGGTACTTCAGCGTCATAAGAAAATGCAATGTCACCAGTCGGCACTTGAGGCCAGCATTGCCGTAATCCGAAGTGTTCAGAAACCAAAGGAAACCTTGCCACACAGGATTTCCACATAAAACCAAGAGATGTTTGAAAAAAAACATGAACACACTTAAAGCAATCATAAGTACCTTAATATTGTGTGGCAAAAAGAGAATATCCCTCTTAGAGGCCATCGAGATGACAGCACAAGCACGGCATCCAACAAAGGAAACTTTCATGCCATTCTTATGCTATTGGGTAACTCTGATAAAAATCTTCAAGAACACTTACTTACTGGTAGAAGAAATGCTACAAGCACCTCAAAAACTGTACAAGAGGAAGTCATTCGTATCACTGGAGAGTATATTCGGTCGAAAGTTACACATCCGATTCCGAAGGAAGACGCTTTTTTTCTCAATCATGGGCGATGAGGCAACAGATAAGTACCCAAACCAAGAAATATTAAGTGTCTGCCTTAGGTTTTTAGACCTAAACAACTACGTTTCACTTAAAATGAAAGAGGTGTTTTTGACTTTGTCAACCTTGACAATACAAATGGTGAGAGCATAGCAAACGCTATTTTGTCAAGTTTGGCCGAGAACAACATGGAGGTGGCGTTTGCAAGAAGACCGACGTATGATGGTGCCAGTGCCATTTCCTCAGAAACACGTGGTGTGCAAGGAAGAATAAGGAGAATAGCACTAATGGCACTGTACACTCATTGCAACAGTCACATTTTGAATCTCAGTGTAGCAGCCGCATGCAGGTTAACTTCAGTCAGAAATTAAACATGATTGAAACCTTAAATGAAACTTTCCTTTCCTTTCATTTTTCACCTAAAAGACAGCGATGTCTAGAACCAGTTGTAGAGAAGTGTGGTTCTACTTCCAGAAAGAAGTTAAAAGGCCTATGCAAAACCCGATGCAGGGGCATAGCCAGGATTTTTCAAAGGGGGGGTCACAGAGGCTACTCACCTTTTACACCGTTGCTCTCCCGCGTGTATCAGCGGGCTCAAGGCCCATATTATTAATTAAATACAAGAGCCGTTGACGAAAATACTTTACAAGAAAAAACATTTTAAAAAAGTGGGCTTTTTAACAATGGCTTTTACGGCCAAGATATTGTCATGACGTTTTCGCCACCTGATTATTGTAGGTTGTTTGCTCTAAAGAAGGCCTACCAAGGGGGGGTCACGGGCACCCCAGGACCCCCTCCCTTGCGATGGGTTGTAAGGCATGAATGTTACGAGACTTTCTACGAACTTTACGAGTACGTTTTGCATAAGCTTGAAGCTTGGAAGAGATAGTTGATCATGAGTCGCATCCTCATGTTTATTCCTCGTTATCGTTCACGTGGGACAAGGAGACTAAAACCAAGGCACAAGGTCCTCTGGCAAATTTAAAGACATTCCAATAGGCCCCTTGCAGGATTAGATCACGTGCCTGGATACCGCTTAGCAGCGCCATGTTGGGACGCAAGCGTTCCAAGCGCCATATTGAAATCATTGCGTGACCGAAGCCATTCTTGAAGTTATATTTTGAAGATATTAGCGATCTGTTCACTTCTACATCACTACCAGCCAATTATTTTAAAGTTTTGGGTATCTTGATTTGTTTTCTTCGGGGTTTTCTATAAATATTTAAAAAAACAAGTTGATTTTTCAACGTTAAAACCCACGGCCGTATTTTGTGACCAGTGGACCTCATGGCGAACAGTGCAGGTAAGCAACCTCACGAACCTTTTATTGTTGGTACTCTATTTATCTCTTCCTTTGTTCTTGCTCAAGCCTAGTAAGCTAATTGAGCTTAACATGTTTCACTTAAGTCTTAACTTTCTATTCAGTAGATGATTCTGGTCCAAGTTCTCCAGTACCCAAAAAGAAGTTCAGAGGGGGAAATTATCACTGTTGTGTTCCGATGTGCGCTGGTGATAGTCGTTACGAAAGTTCTTTGTCATTTCGCCGAATACGTAAAGACGAGGAAAAGCAGAAGCAATGGATTGTCAAAATAAGAAGGGACGTTGGGCCAGATTTCAAGGTAATTTCGCGTCTTTCTTTATCGAAAGGGAAATGCTCTTTAATAATTCAAGAACGTAATAGTTGATTTCCTATGTTTTTCATTCATCTATAAAACTTGAGCTTGTGGTTTGTATATACTGTAGATAACATCCAAGACCAGAGTCTGTGGCAAACATTTTAAAGAAGACGACTTCCTCCCTCTTGATAATTCAGGAAGGCGACGTCTTAAAGAAGGAACAGTCCCTACTGTATTTAACTGGACAGTAACAACAACAGACAGACGAAAGGTTATAAGACAACTTGAAAGGTGTGTTATCGTGCATGTTGTTATATGGTGGAATTTGTTACATAACTTTAGGTGTCTGTAGTCTAGCGATTATATCTTCTTATCATTTTTAACTTCTGTTGTTTTGGTTGTTGGTACAGTTCAGCTGATCACAAGAATGATTAAAAATAGTTTATTTATCAGAGGTATTTTGACACAGTTGATATTGTTTGTTTTTTTGTTGATGTCCTTTTATATTGTGTTGTTTACAGTGCCACACAAACAGATGAGAGTGATGGGGAAGTTGCACATGACGAATCAAACCAACCTTATGAGGGAGACACAAACCAAGTTCCTAATATTTTTGAAGAGCTCAGACAGACCAAAGCACAGCTACTTGCTGTACAAGCCGAACTTGTAGCTGCAAGGAGAGATGCCAGTGCTGCACAAGAAGAATTAGTGCAACAAAAAGAACAAGCTGCAGCAGAACTTGCCATTTACAAATTTGGGTTAGAACGATTCTCCACAGATAATGATGCTATTAAATTCTATACTGGGTTGCACATATGACCATTTGAAATTTTTTTATAATTTTGCTAGACCATCAGCAGAAACAATGACATACTGTTATGCGACGGGTCTTTTACAAAATCGGCCAAATGGTAGGGCTATGCAACTCATAGATGAGTTATTCATGTTTTTAGTTAGAATTAAATTAGGCCTATTTCAACAGGATCTTGCACACCGTTTTAATTTACATATGTCAACTGTTAGTAGAAAATTAATAGCTTAGGCTAACTATTTGTACTTTCTCCTTGGCAATCAAGTGATTTGGCCATTTAGAGCTGATGTTAATGCCAAGATGCCACAAGAATTCAAAAGGCTTTATCTTTCCACACGTGTAATCCTTGACTGCACAGAAATATTTGTTGAGACACCATCATCTCTCCTTTTGCAGTCCCAACTTTATTCTACATACAAGAGTAACACAACACTTAAGGGTTTAATAGGCATTGCACCACATAGTGCAGTTACTTTTGTTTCTTCTCTTTATACCGGGGCAATTGCTGATAAAGAGATCACTAGGTGTTCAGGGATATTAGATTTGCTTGAAAATGGTGATTCTGTGATGGCAGATAAAGGATTTGATATTGAAGATTTGCTGAGAGGCAGGGGTGCTTCCTTGAACCTTCCTCCTTTTTTACAAGATAGAAGGAAATTTTCTGAAAGAGAAGTCCTAAATACCAAAACAATTGCAAAACTACGAATAGATGTTGAAAGGGCAATCAGAAGGATCAAAGAATATCATTTCTTTGACTCAGATGTTCCACTGTCCATGTTGGGCTCTGTTAATCAAATATATACAATTATCTGTTTATTAACAAATTTCCAGGGACCCTTGATATTTAATGGAGATAAATAAAAACTACCATTTACATGTACTTCATCACTTGAAAATTAACTGTTTATGATGTAAACGATTACTATAAGAGTCGAGTTAACTGAACCTTTGAAACAAAACTTAAAAGTCAAGGTGCAACTATTAAAAGACACTAAAAAAAACCAAAACAATTGAACTAGTGTCAAAAGTTTGGTAACTTCACTCGGATTATATACATAAATAACTGAAACATTTTCTAATGTTTAGATTTTATACTATTTGCAACTCAAGAGGTAAATACAATATTAGTCTTAAAATGGAATAAAGTGACTGATTACTTCTTGGTTATCATCCTTTGTATTCTATGTTGACTGTTAAAAAATATTGGAAAAAGAACTGGTCAACTTTATCTTTGCTTTCCTGGAAAAAATCCTTGTCAAGCAGGATTCTCTGACAAAAAAAAGGTATTGTCATTCAAGTAACTAAAAAAATCGCACCATTCAATTCCAGTGATAGCTAACTGACATTGCACTTGAAAGTAATATTCATGGCTTTTCTTCAGTGTTTTCTCACTTGTAAGTGGGTCAATGTCAATGTCTAACATTTTTTAAATCAGTTTCTCCCTCTTGTACTACTTTTGTTTCCAATGTGTTTACCTTGGATGTCGTGTACATATCAAAGTTCAGCAAAAAATTTATAAGCTTTAGTGGTACTTGTGTACCCAGACATTGTTTTTGCATAGCTCTCCACCTCAGCAAAGGTAAAATTAGGGAAATTTCTCAGATCTCGTGTTGGAGTGTCAGTGGTACCTGATAATAACACAAATAACTATAATACGAACGTAGTTGCATCAAGCTTTAAAACAGATGACGGTATTGAACACCGAACTTCCTCGTTATTCACAAAAAAAAGCAATCCTGTCACTCACAGAAAGTTCCAATGGTATGCTTCAACATTAACAATTAAGAAAGAACAAAGGAAGAGATAAATAGAGCAATAACAGTAAAAGGTTCATGAAGTCGCTTACCTGCACTGTTCGCCATGCGGTCCACTGGTCACAAAATACGGCCGTGGGTTTTAACGTTGAAAAATCAACTTTTTTTAAATATTTATCGAAAACCCAGAAGAAAACAAATCAAGATACCCAAAACTTTAAAATAATTGGCTGGTAGTGATGTAGAAGTGAACAGATCGCTAACATCTTCAAAATATAACTTCAAAAATGGCTTCAGTCACGCAATGATTTCAATATGACGCTTGGACCGCTTGCGTCCCAACATGGCGTTGCTAAGCGGTATCCAGGCACGTGACCTAATCCTGTAAGGGGCCTATTTATTTTGCACCTTTTTCATCACAAAGAATAGCCTTGGAACACTCAAACCAATTGCAGCTAAGCTTCAGAAGAACGACCAAGATGTCTTCCAAGCATATTCTATGATTGACGACATTATTAAAGCAGTTGCCAGGGTGAGGTCAAACATAGAAGAGAAATGTCATGAATGGTTTCAAGACGCATCTAGGATGGATGACAAGTTGACTCTGACTTGCTACAGTCTCAGTACCAAGAATCACTGGGAGGCAGGAACATAAGAGCAATGCACCTAGCGTAAACCCGGAATCGCATTATCGTGTTAACGTTGCCTTACCCTTTAGAGATCATTTATTGGAATAAATGAGTTTAAGATTCGGCAAAGACAATAGGGCTGGGGCCGAAATTTTTTTCTTGGTTCCATCTGCCGTGGTGAAGCATGATAGTCTCGGTAATTTAGCAGAAAAGCTACAATTTTGGCAACAGGACTTACCTACACCGTCCTTTCTTCTTTCTGAGTTAAAGGAATGGCAATACTTTTGGAAACAGCACACACCCACTTTACAGCTACCGGGAAATCTTATCGAGTGTGTAAAATATGCTGATGAGGATATGTACCCCAACATACGAGTTTTGCTTATTATTGGTTGTATCCTACCTGTTAGTTCTGCCAAAGCTGAGCGTTCATTGTCTTGATTGCGACAAATCAAGTCATATCTCAGAAACAGGATGTCTGATGGGGGTGTGGGGGGAGAAGTAATTTGCCTCAAAAGAGTGTAACAGTCCTTTCTGAACCAAAGTTTGGACCCCCTCCCCCCCCCTCCCCTCTAACTCTCAGTGGTGATAACAGGTTGTTGGAAGGAATATGCTGAACTGATAATTTCTGTTTTTGGTTTTGTAGATTTGAGCATGGGCAAAGAGCATTATTCACAGTGACTTAATGCTATCTACCAAAGCAAATACTCAATTTTTATCTCTCCAATGAGATAAACTTTGTAACTAAACAAAGGTATTATATCTATTTATTCACTTGGTTATCTACATATTAGTTTATTGGTGTAGCTCATGAATACATTAATTTAGGTATTATATTTTATTACAGACCCAATGGAAAGTCAGGACAGATCTGTCCACTTTGTTCCCGATTTTGATTTAGATTCATCAGCCAGTAAGTACTCTGAGCGGGGTCAGGTAACACCCAGATATTATATAATTGTTATATGTCAGGGTAGTCCAAGGGTAAAAGCGTTCTGATTGGTTCCTACCTACTTGGTCGGTATTTTCCCATTCAGACTGTACCAACTTTGATTTAAAATCATTTCGTTAATGTTGACTTAAATAGTATTACGCATCAATAACTGTAATCAAAGGAAGCTGGCAGAGACTTCCAAGTCAGTGCAAGCGAGAGGGCATCCCTCTTCTTATATCTGGAAAAAGATGTTGTGTGAAATTTACGTCACAAGTTTCATTTTCATTTTTCTTAATTGAAGAGAAATTCCCGCTGCCCCCACTTTTAGCCAGGTATTTCCCCTTCAATACTAAAGTCTGTGAAATTAAGCTACAATTGTCGTTGCTGACGACAATAGAACCCAGCTGGTTCGATTTTTAAACAACTTCATTCGCAACAACACTGCTCAGGTTACTACAAAACTCAACTTGTTTTATCCTACACACGAACACCGGCCCATAGCAACGAGCTGACCTGTCAATTTACAACATAGCAATGGCTAAAAATAAAAGTACAGGAAGCGGGAGAGACACAATTGAATGGAAGAATACCAATAAGGTATTCACTATCATGGATAAAGCTTAGTAGAGAATACGGTGTACAAGGACATTTGACACAGCCTTAGATTTTCAATTTTTTTATTTTATTATTTTTCTCTTAAATATGGTGGTATTAAATTGTTTAACCTAAACTTTGATAAATTTGTAAAATGAACTTATCACTGCAACACTCGGGTATGATAGTAATAATACTAATAATACTTTCCTTTGTATTCTTTTTCAGCTATGGTGGTTCCTCAAGGCCAAGGAAATCAAGAGTGTCAACATGACAGCTCTCCAGGTTTGAAAATAAACATTAATAATAAATCTTTTCTCTCTCCTGCTGGAAGTAGAGCTGTATATTTGCATGTTGACTGTAAATAACGATCATGGCCTTAGGCTCAAATATTGTTTGAAAATGAAATAAGTTACAATGGCGTGGAGACGAAGAAAAAAGAAGTTTAATCATGCGCAGATATTGCATGGTTTTCAGATGGTGCTGTAAGTTTAGAGCCTAGCTGACCAAATTGACGGCGAGCTACTCTGCCATCTTAAGCTGGGTAGATACTTTCGTCTCATTTTCTTTAGAGTGATGATGTGAATCTGAATGCAACATTAGCCAGTAAAAGGCTTATAGCCCATTCACAACAAAGCTTAAACATGTTTTGAAGCTGTTTTCTGAAATGCGGTTTAAAATATTTTTCTTGATGGTAGCTGCTTAAACTGATGTTTGTCGACTTTAAATGTCGCACAACTTGAATCCAAGGGAAAATTCAGTTTTTCAGTTTTCTGTTTCTGATTTAAATTTAATTAAACCCGGTTTAAACGAAGTTTAGTTTAAGGTTATCCGAGGGGAATGCCCTACAAGGATCTGCTATGTAAACTTTCTCTGTCACCATTACAATATAGAAGGGTATTAAGAGACTTTGTACTCATTTATAAAGCAGAGCCAGCTTCATAGAACTTGGCCATTAACTTACCTCATTACAATACTCGTATTTTTATCAACTATTTATCTTATTTAACAATTACCTTACATTTTTATTGGGGCTGGACATCAATTGGGACATTTAGAATTTTGGATTTCTATTTAATTTATTGATCTCAGTTATTTATCTATGTACGTCTGCAACGACTAAGAGACAGTAAAGTTTAACTGAACATGTTTTTTTTTGTGATGTGAATGGGGTATACGATGTATGAACCTATTCCCAGTTCATATGTTACGTTAAGGTTTGTGCAGCATTCCAAGAAACGCCTGGGAAACTGAATAGATCCAGGTCGTTCAAAACAACATGGCCAACGTGATTACCTGGCCGCCTACTGCCACCCTTGCGTCTTGTTGGTATATGCTTGTTCAAGATAAGATTCTCAGCAGGAGGGGGATAAGGAACAAAACATTGGTTATGACCTGATACTCAGACTCTCAAAAGCGATTTCAATGTAATGTCTCACTTCGATATCCATCTGCTATGCAGAGCACTTCACGGCCAATAGTAAGGCAAAAACTAAGACAAATTGGAGAGGAGGATATCCCAAATAGAGTAGTCGTCTTTTCCCTAGTTTTGGGGACTAAAGCGTGGACAAGAAATAGCATTTGCAATAAACTTCGCAAAAACACATTTTTTAGCTTCCTCATCAATTAACCCGTTTGTTGAATAGAAACATTATTTACATTTGATTATGCGGATATTTTAAATAAGCCTAAACGCAGAAAGTTAAAAAAAAACTTATTTGCATGAGAGTGATCCCGGGAGGAACTTTTTAGCGCGTATAGGATTGCTAAGAAATTTTTTTTTCTTTTGTTCCTTTTCGAGGATAGGGGACAATTTGCAGAATGGTAAAAAATTGAGACCAAAAGACGAAGCTGGAAAGGGACAAGCTAATGAAAATGTTGGTAATACCTATGATAACTCAGGCGATTTTTGTAAGGCCATCGAGTACCATAAGCGTCGTCTACAAATTGCGAAAGAAGTGGGGGATAAAGCTGGAGAAGGACAGGCCTATGGAAATCTTGGCATTGTTTATCGTTGGTTAGGCCATTTTCATGAGGCCATTCAGTACCATGAGCGTCACCTACAAATTGCGAAAGAAGTGAGGGACAAAACTGGAGAAGGACAGGCTTATAGAGATCTTGGCATTGTTTATCGGGAGTTAGGCCATTTTCATAAGGCCATCGAGTACCATGAGCGTCACCTGAAAATTGCGAAAGAAGCGGGGGACAAAGGTGGAGAGGGACGGGCCTATGGAAACCTTGGCAATGCCTATAAGAGCTTAGGCGATTTATATAAGGCCATTAAGTGCCATGAGCGTGACCTACAAATTGCAAGAGAAATGAAGGACAAAGCTGGAGAAGGACGGGCCTATGGAAATCTTGGCATTGCTTATCGTGGGTTAGGCGATTTTCATAAGGCCATCAAGTACCATGAGCGTCACCTACAAATTGCGAAAGAAGTGAGGGACAAAAGTGGAAAAGGAAAAGCCTATGGAAATCTTGGCATTGCTTATCATGGGTTAAGCGATTTTCATAAGGCCATCGAGTACCATGAGCGTCACCTACAAATTGCAAAAAAATTGGGGGACAAAGCTGGAGAAGGAGGGGCGTATGCAAATCTCGGCAATGTCTATTATAGCTTAAGCTATTTTCATAAGGCCATCGAGTACCATGAGCGTCACCTACAAATCGTGAAAAAAGTGGGGAACAAAGCTGAAGAAGGAGGGGCCTATGGAAGTCTTGGCAATGCCTATCATAGCTTAGGCGATTTTCATAAGGCTATCGAGTTCCATCAGCGTGGCCTACAAATTGCAAAAGAAGTGGGGAACAAAGCTGGAGCAGGACTGGCGTATGGAAATCTTGGCAATGCCTATCATTGCTTAGGCAATCTTCTTAAGGCCGTCGAGTACCAGAAGCGCCAACTACAAATTACAAAAGAAGGGGGAGACAAAGCTGGAGAAGGACGGGCTTGTGGAAATCTTGGCAATGCCTATTATCGCTTAGGCGATATTCATAAGGCCATCGAGTACCATGAGTGCGACCTACAAATTGCGAAAGAAATTGGGGACAAAGCTGGAGAAGGAGGGGCCTATGGAAATCTTGGCAATGCCTTTGATAGCTTAGGCGATTTTCACAAGGCCATGGAGAATCATAAGCGATGTCTACAAATTGCGAAAGAAATTGAGGACAAAGCTGGAGAAGGAAGGGCCTATGGAAATCTTGGCTATTCCTATTATTGCTTAGGTGATTTTCGTAAGGCTATGGAGTATTATGAGCGATGTCTACAAATTTCAAAAGAAATTGGGGACAAAGCTGGAGAAGGAAGGGTCCTTGGATATCTTGGCAATGCCTATCGTAGCTTAGGTGACTTTTATAGCGCCATTGAGTACCATGAGTGTCACCTACAAATTGCAAAAGAAGTGGGCGACAAATTTGGAATTGCAGTATCACTGAATAATCTTGGTGACGTTTTAGTAGATCAAGGATCCCCTTTGAGTGCCCTCGATTGCTTTAGTTCCAGTTTGTCAGCGTTGAATGAAGTAAGGGCTCATCTCCAGTTTAAAGACGATTGGAAGATTAGCTACCGCGATACGTATAATAATGTATACATTAGTTTATGGCGTCTACATTTAAGCCAGGGTAAATTTATCGATTCCTTATGTGTTGCCGAGGATGGACGGGCACAGGCCCTGAGGGATCTCATTGAGGCAAAATATGGGTGTGAAGAGGTATACTCCTGGTCTCATTCCTCAGGAAAGTTAACTAGTTCCTATGTTAGATCCATTCCCTTGACAACAGTTTTCATGGCGTTCGGTAAAGGAGAAATTATTTTCTGGGTGATAAGGAAGGATGAAGAGGTCACCTTGAGAAGAAAAGAGATTAGCGACTATGAATCAGAAAAAGACGCGAGAACTTTCATTTCGACTTTAAACCAAAATGCGTTGGAGGAGATTGGTGTACGCTCTGGCGTTAAAATCGAAAATCGCTCGCTTGGTGATGTGTGTGACGTGGGATCGAGGAGTGAAAGGGCCCCTATTCGAGTTTCTCGGCCTGTATCACCAAGAGAAAGCCTAAGGAGCTTTTATGACGTTATCATTGCTCCTGTTGCTGACCTGGTTCATGGAAATGACCTAATACTCGTTCCCGAAGGTCCACTTTGTTTGGTACCCTATGCAGCTTTATTGAACCGAAAGCGGGAGTATCTGAGTGAGACGCTAAGGATCAGAATCACTCCATCCTTGACTACTTTGAAATTACTCACTGATTGTCCAACTGACTTCCATAACAAGACCGGCGCGCTGCTTGTAGGAGATCCGTGCGTAGAAGAAGTTCGCTATGAAGGAAGAAAGTGGTGTCAGCTGCCATATGCAAAGAAAGAAGTAGAGATGATTGGCAGAATCTTAGGAACGGCTCCCCTCGTCGGAGAAAAGGCCACTAAAGATGAAGTTTTGAAGCGACTATCCACGGTGGCATTAGTGCACATCGCTGCTCATGGAAAAATGGAAACAGGAGAAATTGCCTTGGCACCAAACCCTGTTCGGGAATCCCATCATCCTGAAGAAAAAGACTTTTTATTGACGATGGCGGATGTGTTGGAAGCTCAGTTGCGGGCAAGATTGGTTGTGTTGAGTTGCTGTCATAGCGCTCGTGGAGAAATAAAGGCCGAGGGGGTAGTTGGCATTGCTCGAGCATTTTTAGGCACAGGGGCTCGTTCCGTATTGGTTTCCTTGTGGGGGATTGATGACGAGGCAACTTTCCAGTTCATGAAACATTTCTATGAAGAACTAATTAAAGGGAGGAGGGTCAGTGATGCTCTTCACCAAGCCATGAAATGTGTAAAAGAGTCCCAAAAGTTCAGGGAAGTAAAGTACTGGGCACCATTCGTTCTCATTGGGGATGATGTCACTCTTGAGCTGAATGGAACCGATGCAGCCTAGATGCTTCTTAATGTAAATATAACTTTAAGTATCTTTTAAAGGGTAAGGCAAGCAGCGGTAGTGCTAGGTATATGAAAAAAATGAATCAGAAAGCAATTGTCATTTTCCGTGTAACTTTACAAACATTATGCAGCATGTTAGAAGCGTCACACGTTGTGGACTGAAATAATTGACTTCTATAGCCACCGGCATAAGCTGCACAATTTAATAGAGCAAAAGAAAAGCTTGAAGTAGAAGACGAAAAAAGTTTTAACAAACTACATATGTTTTCACTTCATTTTCCGAGAAACTTGTGTTTTTTATGTTGGTTTTTCCTTTTTTTTTTCTTCATAGATGGTTGCTGCGCGAGGAAGGTCGATGAAAACTAGTGTGCTTGTCAACAAAGTCCACGTTTCAACTCGTGAATGTCTTAAAATTTATAAACATTACGGTTGATCATGGTTGCTATGAAAAACAAAATGATTACAAGTTATTTCTTGCGTTTTGTAATTGATCGTCAATTTTTTGGTAACCGTAGTTCGGGTTGTACAACTCAGGTGCAATCGTACTTGTATTAAATCTCAAATCACTCGCCATAGTTCTCCTCAAATTGTACTTGGCTACAGTTATCATGATCACACTACCATTGTTATTGACAAGGATGCTGGTTACTTTGGATCTACTCTGACCCTCCAAGTATTAATACCAAGTTTGTTACAAAGTGCAGCAAGTGTTGTTACGAAATAAGACTGGTTATTTTGTTACAAAGTGCAATGGTCTGTTATTACAGAGTGAGACAGGTACTAGGGAGCTTAAGCAACCCCGACGAAAGCGACGACGACGACGTCAAGTAATCGCAGAGGGTCTGGAACGAGGACGTTCTTTTTTAGCGGGAAAATGAAAATTAAGCAGTGAAGTTGCTCAAGGACGACGACGTCTGAAATTTTTTTTATTCTCACTTCGTCAGTTTAAGAAATGACATCGTTCAGAGACCTCTAAAACGTTCTTCTCAGTCATGGATCAAATTTTCACCTACATCGGAAGTTCGAGAGTGGGTTATTCAATTCTTGAACATGAAAAGTCCAAGGAATTATTAAGCTTTAGCTTTACTGACAATAATTTGCACATGATAAAAGTTTAAAATATAAATTTTACGGAAGTTATTTGAGATTTAAATTCAGTTCTAAGTGTTGCTGGTATAAACAAACCTATTTTGCCCAGGGCTTGCCTTATTTTCAACATGCTTAAGCCTGATATGTTCTACCTTTGATGCTCCTTCCTTTGGCGGGCAAACGACACAAGTCTGTCAATTTTATCAATGCTAGCTAGCGATCGGCACAGATCAGTCGTCGCGCTTCACACAAGAATACTATTTTTTCCCGTGTGATTTTGTCGGAATCATTTTTATGGCTGTAAATCTAGATCTTTATCAAACAATTCGAAAATAGATTAGCAAAACCTGAGAGGTTTTCAAACTCATGTTGACACACCGATCTGAAGAATTCTTTGCTGTTTAAAGCGTCTCGACGGAAGAACAGCAACACGCAAAATGTTTTAGCAGCAATAAACCGGCAGTTCCATACACACAGCTTTTGACCGAACGCAGAGGTGTATTGTACTGCTATTTAAACCTTTTCATTCAATAAAAATGATAAACAGCACTCTTTCATAAAATATACTCAAATAAATTTAAACCTAACGTGGTCGCTTTCACCGCTTGACTTGACATCTGTTGTGCGGAGGAAGGAAAATGAGTTAGTGGGTTTTCGAATTTTATTTGTTTAGAAAACTGAACAGGGAGGTTTAAATCAACCGAAGAAGCGAATACAAACTCCAACCGGCCATAGACTGTCAAAAAAACGACAATAAAGCCGCACCTTTTGATGAGAAAAACTGCTTTAAAGTTCAGTCGTTCACGACGACGTGAAACTGGTCCATCTCAAGTCGTCGACGATAAGACGACGACGGAATTCTTGGTTCGCGCTTGCGCAGTGACGTTCTCGCTACTTCCGGTCGTCGTCCTCCGTTCATCGTCGTGGTTGCTTAAGCTCTCTATTGTAAGTGCGAAAACGCTGCAGTATTACAAAGCGCGAAAGGTATAGTAATACCATGTTCGACCTTTTTTACTACAAAGAGCGACAATTTTAGAGGAAAATTCATTACTTGACGAGGGAATTCCGCATTAAATTGCACGCGAAAACCGATATTGCACGAATCGCGAAGCGATGAGTGCGATATCGGTTTTCAAGTGCAATTTAACGCAGAATTCACGAGTCAAATAATAAATTTTCTTTGAATCGCGTAATTGAATAAAAATGAGAAAAAAAGGAAACATCATTACTTATAGTTATCATGTATACATAGATGCGAAACAATATCACTTAGCCCCGTTTTTAACTCGCAATTCCATGCTAAATACCTCGTTTCGTTAACCAATCAGAATGCGAGATTTTATTCAATGATGCGATATTATTCGAAAGCGCGACAGTTTTATTGCAGAATGCGACAGGTATTTTAAAGTTCGACGGAAAGATATTTTCTGCAATCTTCCGCACAGTGTAAATACATTCCCGAAAGTACACCTCATTCGGATTAACTGGGATCTCTACAACCATCAGTTTATAGATGACCGTTTTTCTGCCAATTCTTAGCGTTCTCAGTCTAACATTCTCAGAGGCAACTTCTCATCATCAAGTAATTAATAAAGAAGTTTCCATCTTGGGTATGATATTACGACGCCACATCTTCAGGAGGAGCACTGGAGCAGCATTTGGTGATGTGTGCTCAAGTGAATGTTATACGGTAGCTTTAGTGGCTGAAGGTTTAAGTCTTCAGTATTTGACGGCAGACGGTTAAATTTTAGGTTTGACGGTAATCCGGAAGACATTTCTTACATAACTTCTAGCTGATATCAAGTTTTTTATCTTTTGATATGAATTATTAACTCATTTGAGGCTTATTTACTCTTCCTTTGACGTTATGAAGTGGGTGTACTTTCAAGACCTTTAACAATAACTTATGATTAGCTTCAAACAATTCCTTATTTTCCTACTGTTACATGCGAAAATCACACTAGAAGAATGTTTCTATAGACCTGACTCCTCAAGCTGGATTTATCAAAACGGTTTTCTGCAGCAGTTCCATTTGACGGTCAGTAACGTCACATTCGAGGACGCCCTTATGTGAAGGCAGTAGTCGTCGTCGTCGTCGCTGGCTCCCCTTCTGTATAGAAGATAGGTGTCCATTTCACATCATTGACTGATGGTGAGTTCTGTAATGGCTGTAAAGGCCAATACGAGCCTTGAATTGTCTATCACATTCTGGACAACACAGGCCTGGTGGTAATTCTGTTCGTGGCTGTTCTTGTGTTTCTTTCTTCCTTTCCCTCTTCAGCCTTATGCCTTTTGAACGCCTTTCCTCAAACTTTTCCACTCCATCTCTTATTGCTTTCCTCCGAATAGTTCTGTTCATAGCCAGATTTTCCCATTCTTTAGTGTCAATAGCGCACTGGTTAAGGTGACTTTTCAGCCCGTCCTTGAATCAATTCTTTTGCCCTCCTACATCCTGTTTACCTTCTGTCAGTTCGCTGTAAAACATCTGTTTTGGCAGTCTGTTGTTTTCCATCCTCACTACATGGCCACTCCATCTCAACTGGTTCCTCACAAACACACTCTCCACACTACACATAGTTGCTTGTTCCAAAACACTGAGATTAGTTCTCCTATCTTGCCACTTAATGGTCATCATTTTCCGTAAACATCGTTGCTGGAACTTTTCTAAGGCTGCTATGTGTCTGCGGTAGATTGTCCATGTTTCAGATCCGTATAGTAAGGTGGTTACAACTATGGCTTTATACACCTGGATTTTTGTGTCTAACCTGATGTCTCTGTCTTGAAACACTCTAGACTGGAGTTTCCCAAAAGCTGCAACGGCTTGCTGTATTCGATCATTGACTTCTGCGTCCACATTTGCATGAGGAGATAAAGTGCTGCCGAGATACGTAAAGTTATCCACGTTCTCCAGGACTGTTTCTCCAATTTTTATAGATGGTGGAGTTTTAACTGTATCTTTTGGAGAGGGTTGGAAGAGAACTTGAGTTTTCTTGGCATTTATCTTTAAGCAGAGTTGTGTATATGCATAGTTAAAAGCATCCAGTATAGTTGGTAGATCTTCCTCAGTAGGTGCTGCTATGGCATCGTCATCTATTTGACGGTCAGTAACGTCACATTCGAGGACACCCTTATGTGGAGGCAGTACGGCTTAGTTGAATAAGCGCTTTCCTTTCGGTGACAAACTTTGTTTGGCGCTGGATTTCTGTCTAATTTTTAGGTTACTCTTTTGAAAAAAAGTCAAAACAGCCCACATGGAGGGGGAGATAGGGGTTTGCGGTGTTGCAGTGTTGACCCTTTATTCGATATGGTATTACGGTGAAGTACAACCCGCATTGCGGTGTTGCATTGATCTTAGACCTTACAAAGTACGATGTCTGTAATTCTTAAACCGACGGTGTTCGGTAAAATAAATCATTTTCGGTGTTGCAGTTTTTTCTTTTAAAAACTAGATTTTGATAACCCATAGTAAGTTGTCGAACACAATACATTCGAGTTTATCTTTAATAAACATTAGCTAATTAACCCCTGGCCGTGTTCGTTTATATCTATCTTGACCACTAGACTACCACACTATCGGCAAACCAAATACCATTAAGGATGGGCCGTCATTGCCGAGACTTCAACTCAACATCATTTGTGTCTTTTTTACCGTAATTTACTCCAAAAGTTCTGCCAGTTTTAAAAAGCCAAAATTCCTAACGACCGAAAAAAACCCCATGTGCTTACATCCGGGTTACAAAGTTTCTTACTTAGTACTTTATACAATATCAACGTAAATGTTCAATCCGTTTAAAGCTAGAAAGCTACAGTTCTGCGGCGGTAACATCCTCCCCCTGTGTTCGACCCATCTAAGTGGGCGAACACTCCTTAAGTAACGCCAATTTAGTTACAGGACGCTTCAATTTGTCAAAAGATGTTGGTTTATAAGATGCCTAGTAGACTATCAGTGGTACCTTTTCTATTGAGATATTATCGTAATCGATGATTATATCCGATCATACAGGTGAAGGCGCTGCACGTTTAGTGGGTGGTGGACACGACTACGGTCGCGTAGAAATATATCGGTGGAAGGTGGAACACAGTGTGTGATCAAACTTGGGACATTAATGACGCAAATGTGGTGTGTCGTCAACGTGGCTTTTCTGGTGCAATCGACGCTATCTGCTGCTCGTCATACGGTGGGGACTCCGGCCCAATCTGGATGGAGCATGGTTATTGCGAGGGGAGAGAAGAAAGGCTATCTGATTGTCCGTACCACGGCTGGGGAATTAACTGTAACCATACCGAAGATGCTAGTGTGGTTTGTTACATCTGAATGCGCACAAACAACTTTGCATGACGGACACATAATGCTCGATATAAGAGCATATTAAAGTGATTTTCGCTATGTACGCCATGGTCTGGTTTGCAAAGTGCCCTTTTGATAGATGCTAATTTCATAATTACTACTTGAAAGAAATCTACTTTCGCAAGAAGAAGAAAAAAGTACTTTAATCCACAATCCTAAAGCCGGAAAAACGGAGATTTTTCCGAAACTTCCTTTATTCGATTGGCATATTCCTGAGAAATGAACTAAAGTAATACACAAGACGGAGTACAGAGGGCTCTTATGGAAAGTTTTGGTTTTTTTTCCCGCGGTCAAAATTCAATATGTAGGAAATCGAAGCCTGCGTCATGCACCCGCTCCGGGTAAAAAAAATATTTATATCAATCAATCTTATATTTGTTTCTGTTCAAACATCTTGT